GTGAGGAATGTTTTCAAGGAAATTATAGTAGTTATTAAAACGTAAGAGAAATTATATATTCATTTAATAATAACGAAAATAATTAATTTTTGTTGTTTTATTTTATTTTATCTCACATACAAATTTTTTGAAAATATATATTAGGAAATATGTGCAATGATTTAACTTTTTGAACTCCTAATCTATATTATTCAACCCTAATTAAGCCATCCACGTATGCACCCGCGTGGAATTCACTTTTTTTTTTTTGTCTGTTCGTTTTTGGATTTATTTTTTATTATTTTTGAGTTGAGCTATATTATAATAGGATAGTTTTAACCACGTAGGCAACCACGTGAGACTTGTTTTTTTTGTTTTTTGTTTTATTATTCGTTTTGGATTCATTTTTAACTATTTTGGGTTTGAACTTATTAAGGTTTAGGGTTTATACAACTATTTTGATCTTTAAAACAATAAGCCCAAAAAAACATAAGAACCTTATAAACAAAAAGCCCATATGATAATAACCTAAATAAAAAATAAAAATCAAAAATACATGATAGCTGCATGGTTTGAACCCACAATCTTGCATACTTAATTCGACACCTTATACCACTTGGCTAAAGTGTATTTCCTTGTTTGTAACCATCTTATCAAGACTATGTGTGTTTAAAAAATATTTTTATGATGATGACATTAATTGGTTTATGCATGAGATCAGTGGGAATTGAACCCATGTCCTTGGAGTATAAATATGGGGTCTTAGACCACTTGACTAAATTGATTTTCTTTGTTTATAGCCATTTTAAAACAACTATCTATTTTAATATAAAAATGTGGGACCCAAAATCTGCCTATGTGGACACCTTAAAGAGCCTTTAAACTAAATCATTATAATATAGATTTAAAAAACAATTAAAAGAGCAAAGCAATAAAGGGTCGTTAATAAACTTATTAGTTTATTTGTGAAAAAAAAAATAAACTTATTAGTAGATATGATTCTTTCCTTGAATAAAACACATAAACTTATGAGTGGCCCTCATTTTTTTTTGCTTGAACGTTATATTTTATGACTTTTGCAATCACTCCACCATATATATTTCTTGTGGATGTGTAATAAGTTATATAACCCAATTGTTTACTATTACATAATTGTCGTTTGACCATGGTAGATACATCATACTCCATGTTTTGACAAATGTGATGCAATGCATAAGCTATTTGGATGCATCAAACTATTATTAGTGTCGTGCTTCGTTAATATATAGAGTGCATTGTTCTAGGTGGTCTTCTATTGCTTTACAACTAAGTTTGACTCAATCCATCCACTAGAGAATGTCGTCTACAATACAACCATGTCAAATAACATCTAGAACACACTTCTTCGTTTCGCACAAATAGAAAAATGTTTCAAGAATGATTCAAATGAGTTCTAGCCATTCAACCTTCTGACAAAAAAATATCACATCATCTTTTATTTCTTATCTTCTTTAAGCAGTACAATTGGTAAACTAAAACAATGGATTCATTTCTCAACCTGAACACACTTCCTTGGTTGCAGCCGTTATGACTCTTCTACCAGTTGCGTGATCCTTTCTCTGGCTTGAGCTTGTAAAGGCTGTTATGAGGACTTACCTCATGAAAGCAATGTCTTGACCGTCAAGAGTTTCAAATTTGTTTTCTTTTTATATGAGTGCAACTAATACTTCTTTAATTTGTTTAGTTTTTTTTTTCAATCTCTGTGTAACATATTTATGAATAAAAATTATATAAACAACACTAATGTTTTTATGAATATAATTATTTTTATCAAATAAATATAAATTATGTTTAGATATAAAATATAAGTAAAAATTAATAAAAACATAAGTAAAATTAATAAAAATAGAAGAAAACTATATAAAATTTAAGCAAACTATTATTGATTAAATGTGAGATTTCGTATTAACAATTCATTTTAATAAATTATGTTGATTATGATCAAAATATTGGTGATAATATTAACAAATATTACAATACAATTAAATTTATAAAATTATCTTTAATAATTATTAATACAGCCGAATTAGTGATTGGTTGTATTTGGTTCCTATGCTTATCTTCACGATTTTAAGTATTGTACAAGTGCTGATATTTTACTTTTGCATGAATAGGTTGGCCAAAAACGAGGAAGATTGCTTATCAATTTGGAAGAGGATGAACAGGCGAGGAAGAAAACGTCGGGTATATCAATAACACCAAACTTTCCCCCCCCCAGGTTGAAAGTAACTATTACCATACTTGTTATGGGATTTGTGACGGGGGAAGCTCCCCAATAGATTACTCCCTTTATGCACAATGAAGGAGTGGAAAGTATGAGGGAGCCGATCATGGATGAGTCTCCAAGATTCTTCTTCATCGGCATTGTTAAGACTCACCGTGAGAACCTGAAGTTCTAATATGCTCTTTGCTTAAGTTTTCCAACCCATGAAAAGCTTAACAGCTTGAATACGTCCTCACCCGCATTGTATCCAAAGTGATATGGTCGGTCACCACGTGGTTTACCTTCCGGCAAGGGTAATGATTTACACGTCCTGGCTCCAAGGTTGCACAGCGTAAACTTACCTTCCAAATGAAAACAGATCATACCGTTTTGAGGTTCCGTGATCATCTCGAGCCTCTTCTCTGAACTTAAAGTAATACTCTGTCATATATATAAGAGTATACTGTTTTCCCTTTTGAATGTCATATATATAATTCTCAGAGTATACTATATAATGCTCAAAGTTCGCTTTTGAATGTCATATATATAATTTTTATTTGGTTGTATATTTTGAAAGAAGAATATATATAATCCAATAATTTTTGATATCAGGGCATCTAATACTTCTTTAATTTGTTTAGTTGTTTTTCAATCTCTGTAACATATTTGTCAATAATTTTTTTATAAACAACACTAATGTTTTTATGAATATAATTATTGTTATCAAATAAATATAAGTTATGCTTACATATAAAATTTAATAAAATCATATAAAATATAAGTAAAAATTAATAAAATATAAGAAAACTATATACAATTTTAGCAAATTATTATTGATTAAATGTGAGATTTTGTATTAACAAGCCATTTTAATAAATTATGATTGATTATGATCAAAGTATTGGTGATAATACTAACAAATATTGCTATACAATTAACTTTGTAAAATTATCTTTAATAATTATTAATGTAGTTGAATTTGTGAAAAATAATGTGATCATTTATATTATATAAGGAAAGGTTGCCGGGAATCTGGCCTTTGATTTCACAGGTACAACTGAAGAGGATGACGAGCTTGTGTTCGCGGCATCTTCCGTTGGGATTGATGGATACCATTACCTTATCTACTTCAACTCGGAAACTGAGCTCCTGAGGAAGATCAAGATCGACGGAGGTTCATCTGGAGACGTTCTGACAGAGATTGATCCCTTCGATTCGCTGCTTCTTACTTGAGTTTCGATAAATACTAATAATACTTAAAATAGTGAAGATAAGCATATAAATCAAAGACAACCAAAGCATAGGAACCCCGCCCCGCGCGCAAAGCGAATGGGCGCTTGCTTCCACTTTGAATACTTATAAATAAGACAATATGGACATATATATATAATATAAAAGATCACATTATTTTTTCACTACTTCAACTGCATAAAATTATTACTACTAAATTATTTTATGTTTAGATATAAAATATAAGTAAAAATTAATAAAAACATAAGTAAAAATTAATAAAATATAAAAAAACTATATAAAATTTAAGCAAACTATTATTGGTTAAATGTGAGATTTCGTATTAACAATTCATTTTAATAAATTATGATGCATGTCAAGTGGAATATACAATTTTGCAAATCACAGCTACAGTAAAAGACCAGTTTCTTGAAATCTACACTAGAATGTGGTTGAATGAACAGAGCAGTGAACATCTGATGCATAAAAATACCAAAAAAATTAATCAATTAGAGAAGGATGATTAGGTATCATCAGAAAATAATGGCAGATGATGAAAATAATAATAAGTACATAGTTGCATATTATCATTTGAATTAGGTTTATGAAAGTGTGAATGATAAGTAGGTTATGAGCACAAATGCAAATTCAAACAAAACCATTTTTTTGTGTGTGTATTAAAACGCATGAGAGGTAGCAAAACTCTTTGCTGGTGCTTGTTTGGTCAGCATTGCTAGCCTTATATATATCGCCTTACAGGAAAGACACAATGATATGCAATATTTGTGTTCATAAAAATATAACTGGAACATTAACGTCTATATAAATATAATTTTAAATACTTTTTAAATCATATTGTAATTATCAAGATTAATTTGATTATTATTAGGCACAAAGATTTATAAATCATAGATTGTATTATAATTTTTATATATAATGAGTTTTCATATGATATTGCAAGAGTTACTTACCTAATTAGTATAATAATATATGTGTCATTTCTTTGTCTTTATCAAAGAAAAAAGAATCAATATAAATCTTTAACAAAGAAAAAAATCAATATAAATCTATAGAAATTTAAGGGGGAGGGTGTTAGTGGGAGTTAAATTTATAGAAAATTTGTTAATTTAAAAATTGAAAGATTTGTTAAAAAATATAAAGAGTTTTATATATTGTGCAATTCTGTTAAAACAAATTGATATAATGATTTTAAAAGTTTAAAGTCTATAGATAACAACCCAAAATATTGGGTTGTGAGTTAAAAAAATAGTGAAGAATGAATACACCAACTTTAATAGTATTGATAAAAAAAAATGAAATCTAAACTTTTTAAATAATAAAAAGTTGTGTGTATAGAATTGGTAAATTATCAAACCAAAAATAGTAAATTTTAAAAGAGAATATATAAACCAATAATAATAATAATAATAATATGATTGTAATAAATTATTAACAATCTCATGAATATAAATCAAACTTTCTTTCACTGGCAGCACCACCTTTGTTATTATAAAGCAGAAGAGAATATAAAGTTATTCAAACTCTACACTCACGCGCGGAGATGACGAGGAGGGAAAGTGAAGATACGGGCTCACTTCCTCCAGAGCTGATGGGAGAAATTCTGATCCGGCTTCCAGCGAAATCAATCGGGAGATTCAGGTGCGTGTCAAAGCTGTTTCGGTCTCTGTCATCGGATCAACGGTTCGCAAAGGGCCACATAGATCATCTTCTAATGACCATCCGAAACGATTCGTCGCGGAAACTACTCGTGTCTTCTTCACGTAACCTCTACGCATTGGACTTGGTATCATGCGAAGAAGGAGACTCTGATTTTTTGGGAGCTGTTGAGCACGATTATCCTCCTCCAAACTTGAAGAATCATAGAAACGGCTTTGTTGGGATCATCGGAGGATCATGCAACGGTTTAGTGTGTATCTCTCAAGGTAGAGGCGCTATGTTGTTGTATAATCCAACCACCCGAGAATTCAAGAGATTATTATCATCTCCTCATAGTCATAGATATGATGATGAACAAGAGGTCCAAGCTTGGGGATTTGGGTTTGATGATGTGAGCTATGATTACAAAGTAGTGAAGCTTGTTGGCGGCCATGTTGTCAACGCTAGCGTCTACTCCTTGAAGGCAAACTCGTGGAGACGGCTCCCTGATTTGAGTTTGAGTTATCAAATCTGGAATGGGTACGACTTCTCCAACTCCGGTGTGAATCTCAACGGTGCGTGCCACTGGGTGTTTAGGCTTCCTGAAGGTCGTTATCACCGTAAAGTCTTGGTATGCTTTGATATTAAAACCCAAGAGTTCCGAGAGATGCCATTGCCTGATGATCCTCATCACTTTTCTCTTAGTGTTTGCCTACACTTGGTGGTTGGGAATCTCAACGGCCGTCTCTGTCTCTCTGTGATGTATCATACCCGCTCTTTGCACAATGATCTTTGGGTGATGAATGAGTACGGTGTAGCGAGTTCCTGGAGCATCATCCGGATCGGCTACATGATCTACCAGTCAATAAAACCGTTGTGTTTCAGCGAGGAGGAGGTTCTTCTGAAACTTGATGGAACTGGACGACACATGGTCTTGTACAATTCTGAGACCAATGTAGTGAGGGGTTTGTGGATTCGAGGGGCAGAAGAACTCAGTCACGACTTCAAAGTTTGTACGTACGTAGAGAGCCTCATATCACCAAACTTGTTGTATGGTGTTTAGAAATGAACCCATCGACACTTTCTTTTTCTTTTTCTTTTTCTTTTGTGCACACATATAATATTATATTATTGTACAACTAAAATCAAAATTAAAAAAAAAAAATTGTTTTATTTCTGAGATTTCTTTTCTGTATAGTTTTAAGATAAATAAAAAACCAAAAAAAAATAGAAACTTTAAATAGAATGTAATCTCCCTCGTGTTTTTCTTTTTTTTCATCTCATATCATCAATAAGGAATCCTTACGTGCTTTAAAAGAAACCGGCCACCCTAATTTTCAAATTTTTCCAACTTGCGCTCTTCTTGAGAATCTCATCGCCGTGACTTCGAGATGGGAGTCAGGAAGATCTAGAGATCTATGAATCAGACGAGGAAGAAGAAGAAGAAGAGTTGGTGGCCTCCAGGGTTGGTGATACTGATACCTTTGGTCTCAAATATCCTTACCTTCATCACTAGACGACCACGGACGTTGAATCAAAGCAAGCTCAGAGCTTATTTGAACATGAAATACCCATCGGTCGAGCAATTTTGCGCTACATCAATGGAAACAGTACTCCCAAAAACCAAATAAATGGGTCTTAGCTGAGAAATTCACCTCTTACTTGGGGGAGAAGAAACATATGAGTCAAGGATGGTCAACGTGGATAGCAAAGACTCTGAGTGGAATAGAGTCTTTGCTCAAGACCGTATAAAGATCAACACCGAGTTGAGTTCGTTGCTAAAGGTGGATGGGGTTCAGCAGCGGAGAAGACCTGCGAGAAACAAGAGAGATATGTACGTAATGGAATGCGTTGTCTTGTCAATCACACATACAGTAGTAGCCTAGTATGTATTTTTTAATCACACCGATAACACAACTTAGCACACATATATACCAACCTCTTAAATAGCATGAGCACACTTCTCATCGAAGCATGATAGATATAGACGACATCACGGTTAGTTTGTTAAATTACAGTATACCAAAAAATGTCAGCTTAAACCTTAGATGTTTTTTTATCAATGAAAATTTCTCTGAACAATTTTATGATTTACTTATATAGAATCCTATGTTCTTATTATATGAAAGAAAAAGAAAGATTTATGTTTTGGGTGAGAGCAAAGATTTTCTAGTCGAGAAGTATTTGCTCATTGTCTGCATCTCCTTCTGTCTCAATAGTAGGAGGCTTTGAAGGTCCAGGAGCTTGCTTTTTCTTGATACCACTCACAATATCATCAATCCTCAGAAGCATACAGGCCGCTTCAATCGCTGTCTTAAACGTCTGCGCCTTCACATTGTAAGCATCCCATATCTATAAATCACAAAGATTCAAAAAGTGTTAACAGAAGATTCTTCACTAGCTACAAAGCAAAAGCTATCTTTTAATTCTTCTTTTTACCTTTCTCTCTTTCATGTCAGCTATTGCACCAGTGTTTCCATCGATTCCAGTCCAAGCATTTTCACCATTTGCGTGCTAAATAAATTCCGCAAAATTTAATCAATTAGAGAAGGATGATTCTGTATCATCAGAAAATAGATAATGATAATAATAATGGTCGATGAAAAATATACATTTCCTTGCAATGCTGTCATGGTTCTGATCACGTTAACTCCACAGTTCTGAGCTAGAGTACGCGGAATAACCTCAAAAGCTAAAGCAGCTGCTTCATAAGGCCACTGTTTCAAATAACAATCTCTGAATTAGAGACCATGCAGTTTCAAAAGATGGGAAAAAAAAAAGCAATAGCCAACCTTTTCTATTCCTTCAATTGTTGCACTCTTCTGTTTTAAAGTAGCAGAAACGGTTAATTCTGTGGCACCACCGCCAGGAAGTAGCTTTGGGTTCTTGATGATGTTTCTTGAAACAGACATGGCATCCTGTAAGAAGAATTAATGCATCAAGTCATTAGTTAACAATAATGTGTGATGTTTAGTTAACAAAATTAAAAATATTATTCAAGTAAAATCTTAATTACTACCTGAAGATTTCTTTCAACTTCGTTAAGAAAATCTTTACTTGGTCCTCTTAAGAGTACAGTACATGCTTTGGGCTCTTTGCAATCAACAATGAAGGCAAAGAAATCGTCTCCTATCTTTTTGACCTCAAACAAGCCAGCACCTGTACCAACATCAGACTCTTGAAGTTCATCAGGTCTGTTCACAATCACAGCTCCACATGCCTTGGCAATTCTGTTGTTGTCCGTCTTTCTCAACCTTCGGATTGCACTAACTTTATTTTTAATGAAAAACTGGCAGGCAAAGTCACTGAGTCCCTTCTCCGTGATTACCAAATCGGGTTTGAACTTCATTATTTGCATGCACATGTTCGTGATGTACTCCTCTTCAAGATTCAACAGAACTTTAAAGTCATCTTCACTACGTAACTCCACATTTGTTTGGTTTTCACCTTTCTTGTACTCAAGGGGGCAGTCAAGTAGAATAATCCGTGGGTTGACAATCTTTCTCTTCATTGCACCCGGAGCAGTTACGTCTTTGTTAAACATTACTCCTTTGAGAACTTTGGAGTCCTCCAAATGCCCACCAGGAACCTTCTCAATCTTAATGTATTTTTTAATCTCCACCTCTCTCAATCCTTGTCCTAGATCAACACTAACAGTGGTGGTGGCGTCAATAGCCAGATCCTACAAGAGACATAATAATATATACCTTTGTGACAGAGCATATATAATAAATACTACTGGAAGCAGGCTAAAATAAATGCGTAGCTTGTAAGAACTTAAAAGTGGGAGGGAGGAGGAAACATATGGTAATTAAGATCTTCACTAATTAAAGTACTCACAGCAATCAGGTCCCCAAACTGGCTGGTGAATTTAGTTCCAATGCAGCTCTTGACTAATCCCAATACTACTGTTGCGCCTGCAATATAACATTTTTTGTTTGTATCAGGAGAAATATATTTATATCATAAAAAAGGTAGAACATGGACTTACGGTCATTGACATCGATTGACATGGCAATCTTGTCAAGAACGGAGATAGCATCCTCGAGAGTCTTATTATAAGCTGCAGTGAAGAAAAAAGAGAGAGAGAGAGAGAGAGTTCAAAACCTTAGTCAAGTTAAAAAAAAATTACAAGACTGTGGAATTAATGGGTAACAAATCACATGAGGCAAGTATACCTCGGCATATGACTGTGGGATGGTAACCCTTTTCAATGAATTCTTTGGCAACATGTAACATTTCAGCAGCTGTTGAAAAAATAAAAATAATAAAGTGAGACTACAAACAGAAGAAATATATATTTGCTTTCAGAACACAACAGTGCCTAATCCTATTTTATGTAAATACTAAATACCTAGAACAACAACAGAAGTGGTCCCATCACCGACTTCTTCGTCTAGTGTGCGGCTCAACTCAATCATCGTCTGCATGCATCAGCATCAGCACGAGAGAGAACAAAAACATATTATAAAAAGAGGACAACAACATACGTAACGTTAAAGTTAGGGGAAGAAGTAAAACCTTAGCTGCAGGGTGAGCAACATCTAGTTCACGCAAAATAATATTTCCATCATTGGTAACAACAATTCCTGTGAAGATTCAGGAAAAAAAAAAAGAGATTAATTAAAAACCCATAACCATAAAAAGAAGAGAAAGGATCCATCCGAACACTGAACTACAAAATCTTCATAGACTGTGAATCTTTTTTTAAAAAAGAGGCATAAACCCTAATCTAATATATAAGTCTCTTAGAAGATCTCAAGATTAAAAAAAGGAGGAGAAATCTACCTCCACACGCATCAAGAATCATCTTTGACATAGAGCGAGGACCCAATGTGGTGTGGATGATATCAGCCACAGCCTGTAATTAAATATGAACATGGTGAAACCATATTTATGATTCAAAGACGAAGCAACAAAACATAAAGAATTTTATTACCTTGGAAGCCTGAATAATACCATGGTGAACCTTTTTTCCAGATTCACGCTTCAACGAATCCTCTGAAGATTTCAACAGAGCAGTAACAACATTAACAACTCGGAACTAAAAGAGAATTAAAAACTCACTAGACACGCAGAAGAACCGTAGAAGAAGAAGAAGAAACTCACTGAGAACGAGAACAGGGGCGTTCATTTCTACGACGATCTACAGAGAATCTGAGCACAAGAAGAAGAAGAAGCTTATTGATCCACCTACTACGTTACGCTTCCCGCTTCTCCATCCATCTATTTAAAAGCACAACCGACTCAAATTTATTAAGCCCATAGGCCCAGGTGCACCAAAAGAAGCCGATCCCAAGCTACTGACTTTACATTATAAAAAAAACATAATATGAAGATTTCTTTTCTATATACATTTAAGATAAATAAAAGCAAAAACAGAAACTGTACATAGAATATCATAGAATGTAATCTCCCTCATTTAAATGTTTTTTTTTCTCTTGTCAAATCTCTTGTACAATACACAAATCAAATAAATAAGAAATATATAACCTTCCAAAAAAAGTTAAAAAAAAAAATCTTTTTTTTTCCTTATATCAAAAAGGAACCTTTAGAAACTTTGGAGGTGAATAATAATAATAATAATAATAATAATAATAATAATAATAATAATAATAATAATAATAATAATAATAATAATAATAATAATAATAATAATAATAATAATAATAAATCTCATCAAATTAAACAACGATTCTTTGATGAGAAGAAGACGTGCTTTATAAGAAATCCTAATTTTCAAATTTCGAACTTGCGCTCTTCTTCTCCACCTCCATTTGAATCTTGGAGATGGGATCAGCTCACAGTCAAGAAGATCTAGAGATCTATGAATCAGACGATGAGGAAGAAGAAGAGTTGGTGGACTCCAGGGATCAGCTCATAGTCAGGCAAATATATGCAAAAACATATATAAACAACTAGAATGAATTTTTATATGGATTACAAATTATAAAGAAATAATTCCAATTATAAAATATTGTCAAAGTCTGAATTATATTATCTTCTGGTTTTCAAATAAGTAATTTATAAACTGAAAAAACACAATATTAAATAATTTTTTTTTTTAGTTTTGAAATTATAACGAGTGTTGTTATAAAATCACCAATATCAAACTATACACTTATTGCACATATGTTATTCAGTTTTGATTGTAAAAATTCTTCCCATATATACATTCTTTCTGAATTCTAAATAATCGATCGAATCAGAATCTTTAGAGAATTAGATGAAGACACGAGAGGATACAACAAATCAAGAAACGTTAAGAATTACAAGATTCCACTATCAAGAATCTATTTTTTTTTATAACCACAATATTTATAATTGGAATTGATTCTTTATAATTTGTAATCCATACTTAAAAATTCATTCTAGTTGTTTATATATGTTTTTGCATATATTTGCCTCACTGTGAGCTGATTCTCACTATCAAGAATCTATTCGAAAAGAGATTCCTCCATGATTTATGCTTCCACTAATTGTTCGAATTTTACGTAGATTTCCAACAAGATTTATTTACAAAATAAAAAAGAATTTTACGTAGATTTCCACCGAAATTTATTTCCCTCTCACTTCCCTAAAGAAGATATTAAATATGGTAAGAAGATTGACCGTAACAAAATAGGAAAGTTGACTGCGGCCTTATTTGGGCTTTAGCCTATTATTTTCCCCAAATACTATGCCCAATAAGCTAATCTCTACTTGAAAAGTCTCGAGGGACTGAGTCTTTGTTATTGCCATGTGTCCCACTGTTGTCTCCAACTGTCTGCCACTGCCGTTACTGTCGGCTCTCGTTTTCCCACATCACAATGACCCCAAAAAAAAAAAGATAGAGGAGAAAAAAAAAAAAAGATTAAAAGCCTAAAGGTAAACAAAAGAACAACATTATTATATCTTTGTGAAATTTCAAGAAGACTGATAATTTTTCATTGTTTTTAACGTCCATTTGCAGATTATTAGCAGTTGCTAGTGGTTTAGAGTTTTGGTGGTAGATCAGATCAGATCAGATCATCAGGAAAGGGTTTTTGAGAATGTCGACTAACATATTTTGGCAAGAATCCCCCATTGGGAACACTGAAAGGCAGAAGCTGCTAAACCAGAAGGGTTGTGTTGTGTGGATCACAGGACTCAGTGGCTCAGGTTAATTTCTTTCTACAATCTGATCTTTGAATAACCTAAGACGAGATTTTTATTATCTTCGTATGTTACATAACTCTCTGTCTATTTGAAATTTTATTGGCCTGAAACTTATGCAGGAAAAAGCACGTTGGCTTGCTCTCTAAGTAGAGAGTTGTACACCCGAGGAAAGCTATCATATATTCTTGATGGAGATAATCTTCGTCATGGTTTGAACAAAGATCTTGGTTTCAAGGCAGAGGATAGAGTGGAAAACATACGCAGAGTCGGTAAGTACATTTGAATTAGGTTTATGAAAGTCTGAATGCTAAGAAGGTTATGAGAACAAATGTAAACACTTTAAAAAGGGTATAATGCTGATGCTGGTTTGATATGTAGGAGAAGTAGCGAAACTCTTTGCTGATGCTGGATTGATCTGCGTTGCCAGCCTCATATCTCCTTACAGGAAAGACCGTGACGCTTGTAGGGAAATGATGCAGGGCTCATCTTTTATCGAGGCAAGCCATTCGAATACATTTAGACTTTCAGCTTTAAAAATACATTTTTTGATGTTGTGGGGGCATAAACTCTTTAGGTGTACATGAACATGTCTCTACAATTGTGTGAAGCAAGAGACCCTAAAGGATTATATAAGCTTGCACGTGCGGGAAAGATCAAAGGTGAGTGAACATAAGCATCCATAGAGTAACAGAAGATAGCACATTGCTGTCATATCATTTGAATCTTTTAACAAAAGGCTTCTTGTGCAGGCTTCACAGGGATTGATGATCCATATGAATCTCCCTTGAATTGTGAGGTATAATCCATGTGAATATATATAATTATTCACCAAGGATCACTCAAAATCCACGTGTGTGAATATGTTTCTTTTTTTTGTTGGTTATGTTATGAAACAAATGAATAGATAGAGCTGAAAGAGAAGGAAGGAGAGTGTCCTTCCCCTGTAGCTATGGCAGAGGAAGTCATCTCTTATTTAGAAGCCAAAGGCTTCCTTCAAAACCAGTAACCATCATCGCTTATTTAGAAGCCAAAGGCTTCCTTCAAAACCAGTAACCACCACCAGAATCCAACCAAGTCACATTTGATTTTTTTTTTTTTTTTTTTTAAATAAGTGTTGGCTGCGTTCTTTATGTTTCTTCACCCTCCTGAAACAATGCAAATGCAAAGAAGTTTGAACTATGAAAGAAATGTTACAGTTTTCTTCCGTTGCAATGTTTATTTTTTGTTATAATAAAAAGCAAACAAGTCATTCACACTCACACAATATCAATCCTTTTTAGAGTACCTGTGGAGGAGAATCTTTTTTTCCCTGACCGTTAAGCAGGAGGCCAGTTAACCGCAGCACTGAGATCTCTTCTTCAACATCAAGTATAGTATTATCAAAAAACTGAGACTATAATTAGCTTTTAACTGCCCAAATGCAGCCTTGAAGATAAGCCTTCATGTCAGAATGAACTGAATAGCTAGAATGTCTGCTATGAATAGGAACAAAGCTTTGATCATTCCTTAAAGACCCAAGAGAAACCAGCAATAAGGATTCCGAGAATCAATTATTTGAGCTGAAGACCATTACATTATCTTGAACCTTCTTGGCTATATTTGGAACTGAAAATATGTAGTAGTACCTTCAAAGATCAGCCCAAACAAAAAAGCTGAGAGTAGTGAAGAAAATTATTCAAGTAGTAATTGACATGATTAAAAACTAACAATCCAACCGTCATTACATAACATAAGATATAAAAACTAACAATCCAACCAGTCATTACTTTTCCAAATAAACAACCCGAGAAAATTATAATTCAAATGACATAACATTTATAAAATGATGAATCCAATAAGTTCTATATCAGTTATTCGTCTATCATGGATGCTAATGGCAAAATTTGTACAATTTTTTTTTAAGATACAACATTTAAACAGTCTATATAATTCTAGATTGAAAGAAATGGTCTATTCACTGTTTGAACCAAATTTACCGGTTAGTAGGTGAGGCAATCATAATTTATAATTCAATTATTTTATAAAATTATATCAAATAACATATATTATAGAGCTAGGAAATAATACTAAAATACTTACAACTAGTTAATTCTTAAAATAATATGTGTGGATGCACGAATCAAGATCTAGTTAACTCTTAAAATAATAAATTTCTTTGATTGATTACTTTTTTGGAATATTTTAAGCGTATTGGATCTAATCGAATCTTATTTATGTTTATTTTAAATGTTTCAGAAGTGTGGGAAAAGTTATTAGTGCTCAACTTGCTGTGAACTCCAAGGGTAAAAATGTGGTATATGCCTTTGCCGAGTTGAAGCGTGATTATGGAGTAAAGAAGGTGAGAATATTTCGTAGTAATGATGATTTAATTTGGAAACTAATCCACTCTCTACTTACGTTATAAGCATTGAAAAAGAAACATGGTAGTTATCTTCTGGATCATAAGGTTTGGCTTAGTGTGTGCTAAGCCACCTCAACACAGTCACCGACTTACCCTTGCAGAACGACTACTTTCGAGGAAATGATAACACAAAGACGCTCTTTGTCGGTAATCTCTCTTGCCAAACTGAAATACAAGAGATGTAAGTAGCACCCTTTATTTCCTTGGACCTTTCTTGGTGCATGACTAATATTTTTACCCTCTATTTTGACAGCATCAATTGCTTCCATGGTACTGGAAAAGTTGTTCATGCTCAACTTCTTATGGATTCCATTCACGAGCAAACAAATGTTGTTGAGCAAGCAAAAGAGGTGAGAGTAGTGAAGAAAATTATTCAAGTAGTAATTGACATAATTAAATTGACGAAAAAGTTGTCATATTAACGAAGTCATTCAATATATTATCTATTATATATTTTACACAACAAAACTGACCTAATTTTTAGCAAAAAAAAAACTTACATATATAAGATTCGTTGTGCTTTAACTTTTATTCATTAACATACATTCTAATTATGACATGTAGACCAACTACTTCATTTAATTTATTAAATCAAATTATCTTTTGATTTAGGTTAACTAAAGTTTGAATCCTAAGAAGGTTATGAGCACAAATGTAAATACTTTAAAAGCTTCGATGTTGATGCTGGTTTGATATGTAGGAGAAGTAGCAAAACTCTTTGCTGATGCTGGTTTGAATGTCTGCTATGAATAGGTACAAAGCTTTGATCATTCCTTAAAGACGCAACTTTGATCATTCCTTAAAGACCCAAGACAAACCAGCAATACGGATTCTGAGAATCAATTATTTGAGCTGAAGACCATTGAAGTGCATCATCTTGAACCTTCTTGGCTATAGTTGGAACTGAAAAATATGTAGTACCTTCAAAGATTAGCCTAAACTGATTAATTTTTATTTAAGAATAGTGAATAAAAGGGTTTCAGAATTAACTTTAATTTCTTTAAGGATTTATTTGAAACGTTTGCAAAAATAAAAGGGTTTATTTGTTATTTTCCTCTGTTTTCAGACCGTGAGTTCGGTAATTAAACAAACAAACAATAAAACGAAACAGAACAGAACTCGATCAACTTTTAAGATTTCGAGAGAGAGAGAGATGGTGTTGAACAGTAGGTTGGTGGAGACAACAGTGAACATATCGACGGATCTATGGCAATACGTGGCTTGTAACCCCGAGAGACTTCCCCGCGCCACCGTCCTCCGTTTCATCTTCTGCATCCCTCTCCTTCAGCTCCGCCGCCTCGCTTCCTCTTTAGGATCTTACCTTTGCTTCGATTCCGATCGCTATACTCACTCCGATTAACTTCCGGATCGTCAAATTTGTTCCCTTTGATTTATTATTATATATATACACGACGTTCTCTTCGTTGATTATTGTTTTTGGATTCAGTTGTGTAATTTGTTTTGTCTTGTAAACCGAAAGGAACATAATTAATAAAAGTTGAATACTAGAATAAACCGGGAATTTCGAAAACAGATTAAAACCAAACCGGACTGTGAGGGGTTATTGTCTCATCGGACAGTAGAGAGAGAAGACGTGTAAACTAAACGAAGGTTTCGTGAGGAAGAAGATGAAGTCGTTAGTTGCTCATTTCTCAACGCCTTTAATAACAGCTAGATTCTTCTCTCCTACATGTCTTATTCATCCACAATCGATCTCTTCCGTCGCTTTCTCCACCGTCCGCCACAGAAAGTTCCCCTCCTCTCGCACCGTCATGGCCTCAGCAGCTCAGTCTTCTTCTTCTCAGGTACATGAAGTATAAGTTTAGTGGTTTAAAATGATGTATCTTTACTCTGATTTTAAATTTTATTTTATTTTGATTTGGTGATTACTGCCCCTGAGATGATCTGTCTTTTAGTTTTTTCATGAATCTTTGCTTTGTTCTGTCATTAGAGAAAGAAAAGTTTGTATTTTTAGATTTAAGTTTTGTCGGATGATATCGGTGTATATGGTAGCTTGAGCTCAACAGTTGAAAAGTTCTGAACTTTGATCTCATATGTACTTGTTATCAATCAGGCTGTATCACCAGGGAGTGAGACAACAGATATTTTCAAAATGATTCAAGCTCACGAGGTAACACCACTAAATGCACACATTTTGTGACCATTCTCTGCTCAACATATCTCAATCTATCTCTATGATTTGATAATCATTCATCTTCTCAAGGCATGATGTGAATGTGTTGTTAAACAAGTTGATAAGCTGTCTGTTTGTCTCTGTTTTCCAGGCGAAGGCTGCTCGTCTTTCTCCTGTTGAGGAAATCCGAACTGTACTGAACGGTAGTGTTTGTGGTATGCTTTCCACTTTTTCTCAGGTGAGAGCTAACTAGTTTCTCTTCTTCTAATCAACATGGTTTCTCAGATTTGAGATTCTAGGATTCTAATTATTGATGCAAAAATTATGTATAGTTAATGTGTAATCTTCCTTGTTTTTAATATGGTGCAGAAGTACGAGGGTTATCCTTCAGGATCAATGGTTGATTTTGCATGTGATGCTGATGGTTCTCCAATTCTAGCAGTTAGTAGCTTGGCTGTCCATACAAAGGTTTGTTTCTTATTTTAACCATATCCAGATGATTCATCTCTCTTTTACTGCATTTTGGAGCTGTTTTAGTCATACTTTACTCAGCTTTATAAATCATCTGGTTGCAGGATCTCTTAGCTAATCCAAAATGCTCACTACTTGTTGCTAGAGAGCCAGAGGATAGGACCGGTTTGAGGATCACCCTACATGGTGATGCAGTTTTGGTATGTGTTTCTCCTTGTTGGTTTAATAGTTTATACACATTTACATTTAAGCTTCAATGTTTGTTGGTATGTATTATGTAGGTTTCTGACAAAGATCAAGCGGCTGTTCGATCTGCCTATTTAGCCAAACATCCCAGTGCCTTTTGGGTAAACATCCTTTCTTGTAATGTCTAGAAAGTGAAAGACGATGTATTATAGCATATCATTAATAAGTCAACTTAACATTTTCTTGTTAAAAACTGGTGAAGGTTGATTTTGGTGACTTCAGCTTTATGAGAATTGAACCAAAAGTTGTGAGATTTGTTTCAGGGGTTGCAACTGCTTTTCTAGGATCTGGAGGTTTCTTTCCTGCTCCATCTTCTTTTATATACTGTCTTATGCAATCCAGTTTAAATGATCCCGCTATTTTTTTGTTTACTTTTGCTCTGCAATCTACCTTTCTAGAATTCAGCAAAGAGGAGTACCAAGCAGCCAAAGTAGATCCTATAGCTCAGTTTGCAAAGCCTGTAACGGTATATGTCAAATCATATAACTCTTTTAATTTCTCATCAACAGATAACAGTGGATGCATACTAACAACTCGTTTTTTTTTTTCATTTCGGCAGTCACACATGAACAAAGACCATGAAGAGGATACCAAAGCTATTGTATACCATACAACATCCATACCTGTAAGTAACTCACTATCTTAACCTTTAGTCAACATAACCAATAGGTAACAGTAGTGTTCATTTAGTTCTATGTGATCTTGTTGAGCCTGGCGCTGTTTATATACATCACAACTAAGCCCTCTTAAATGTCAGGTTGAGAGTGCCTTGATGCTTGATTTGGACAGCCTTGGTTTCAATGTCAAGGTGTGTTCTCTGAACACTAAATCCTCTTTTTCTCATCCTCTTATCGTTCAGTTCATAAACATATGTTCTATTTCTTCGTGACAGGCTACTCTTCAAGGGAACACCTTCAAGATCCGAGTTCCATTCCCAAGACGCGCACAAGACAGAAAGTAAGACATTCTGTGCTACACTTTTCTGTACCGAGTTAAAACTACTGTTCGATCCCTTTTACTATCAGAGAGATCCAAAACTGGTGGACTAACTCTTTGTAATGGTGGTGGTGTTTTTCAGGGATGTGAAGACACTGATAGTGGAAATGCTTCAAGCTGCTAAGTCTGTTTCCAGTTAGTTTTGCTAAAATAAAGATGTGAAATCTTCATACGTAAGTTTCAAAATGTAGATTTGTGAAGTTGTATTGGATGGAACTCATGTATGCTTGCTTATTACACATTCGTCATGGTTATGATTTCAAATATAAAACAATGAAAATAACATTTTATAAGTTCAGTACAACTTGGCATACTTTAATTCATTTTCAGGTAAATATTTCATTTTTTTCAATATTTCAGGAAGAAAAGGTACCTTCAAGCTTCAACCACAAATCCATATGATCATTAAATGGAAACTTACTGGTTTATCCTATGATACAAAGAGAAACCTTCTCTGGCGAAGAATTATTGAGTGAATCTATTTTAAATCAAGCTCAAACTTGTGATGTTTTGTTAGATTCAAAAGTCTAATAAAACATTTTATTTTCTTACGACTCGAACCTCAAAAACATTGTTAGCTCTTCAAAAGTCAAAAGTCTTAGTCATTGATAATAGAAACATCATGTTTTCTTTCTTAGATTATAACCAAATGAACAATGAATTGACTTAACAATAAACATAATTTGTGACCCCCTCCCCCTCCGTTAAAGAATCTAATGGAATGATGAAACCAACTCATTTTTGATGGATCAAAGAATTCATCATATATTATGTGTCAAATAATGCTATTATCAAAGATATGATATGAACAAAATCATACTGAACAATTAGAAAACAACAACAATCAAAACAAAGAAAATTATGCAAAAACAAGATTAGTGCAGAATTATAAACAAGAAACTCTGTATAACTATTGAGAATAGCATGTCCAATCTTTGATGACTAAAATACACACTGAAAATACAACTTATAAATTCCATATGAAAATTTAAAGCAAAACATTTCAATAATACACACAAAGAATTTGAAATCTGCTATTAAATCAAAACTTCAAACGAACAAGGTTATCACGTTGTTTTTCAACACCTAAATTCAATTACAAGTTTAAGAAAATCAACAATTTATCTATTGTTTTCTTACTTACATAGTTCAGTTGATTATGAGTCATCTTCACACAAATAAAATAAGTTTAATGAATTTCTATCATAATGGTTTTTTCTTATATTACATGAACAATACTGATGAGGCCTCTATGGTGTCACTAGCTAGCTTCACCGTGTTGCCGTGGGAGGTGAAAGTCGTTCTATCTTGGAAATATATGTAAATGAAGTTATTGTATGAGTTGTTTTCAAATTTGAAATCCTAAAAGAATAAACAATTTATAGTTATCAGTTTTGACCATAACAAAGTTATGATTTAAATTTTCAACCCATATAATTTATAACCATAGTTTTGGATAGTTGTATCATTCTAAATCTAAATATAACTATTTTTGAACATGACATATAATTTTAGTCCGTAAAAGTTTTACATCGGTTCAGTTTGGTCATTGGTTCAAATTGGGTCATATAGTAATGTTAGGTAAAATCCAGTAATAAACTGTGTATTAAAATTATGATCGGTTAACCCAATCGAACCGAAATACCCAAAAATCAGTAAAAGTGATGGTGGACATATAAACCCAAAAGCAAGGAAAGCCCAGCCCATACAAAATGATTAAAGGATACCGTGTGTAGCACGGGTGAAACCTGCTAGTTTCATAAAAAGTATTTCTTTCTTCTCCTTCTTCATCTTTCTAACTCGTAGAGCACTAGGGTTCCTTTTTTTAGCTGCTCTCCATGGTTGGTTCTTCAAAGAAATCGACAACAGAAGCTAAATCATCGGGTAACACTCTCTTACAATGCCCCCATCTACTCGATTTAAACAAACATAGAGTTTTTCATTTATTTTACAGGCAAGCGAAAGAAGTCCGAAGATGATTCGGAGCAAGCTAATTTATTGGGTAACACTCTCTTAAGATTTTTTTCTCTACTCTTTTTATTTCACCAATAACAAATCTAACTCCGAAGAGGAACTTTGTTTTTTTTTAGTTAAGCGTAAGCTGAAAGATGATTTGGAGACCAAACCTATGATTCTGAAGAAACATAAGGTAAGCTAAGATGCGTATGAATATTGGATTTTTGTTCTACTTTTGAGTCGCAGCTAACACACTTGAATTCATTCAGGAGGAGGTTGTCGTAAAAAAGAAAACCATCTTGGTTCGTGGTCTCTCTGATGATGTTGGGGTAGCAGATATCATCGATTTCTTCGAAGATGTTGGACAAGTTGTTCGTGTTCAACTTGTTGTAGACCCCAAGTTCAGGGAGACTAGGGAATATGGCTTTGTCGAGTTTGCTTCTTCTAACGAAGCAGACAAGGTGAGAGAAGAGTAGACTAGTTGTGTTAAACAATTATTTAACCAAGTTTTTTTTTTCTTCTAATAATATTGTAGGCTCTCCAAAAGATTAGAAATTTGCACAGTCCCCAGATTTTTGCTCGGTTTTGCCCTTATGTGCACATCAAGTAAGTTCATTTTCCATGTTAATATGATTGCTATAGTTTTGTATGCCTTTACACAACTAACACTATTGTTTTTCTTTATAAGGTATTGCAAAGATCACAAAGTCTGGTAAGAAAGATTACATTCTTGATTATGGGTTACATGGAGAGATTTACAGGGACTTTTTCCATATTTCAGGAACAAAGATCCCATTCTACGAGGAGAAGATGAGACACCTCCTCCCAAGTTTGTTGAGGTACCTGTTGTAATCCTCAAAATATTCCACAAATGAGCCCCCTGTTTTTTTTCTTAGTCGGCCTTAACACAACACTTGCCTGTTAATTGCAGGATGTTCTCTTTGTTTCCAACCTCTCTCCTCAGACAAAAGTATTTCATATGTAAAGGACGAGCAGTAAACAAAAATAAAAAAAG